GGCAGGCCCTCCAGCAGGTCTTTCTGCAGCCTCTCGGACAAGGATGGCGAGAGGCGGAGCCAAGTGGTCCCCTGGATTATGGTCATCCAGTCAGCGATGCGGGACAGGCAGACCACAGAGTTGGCACATGTTTAAGATGACATCAGCAGCTTTACAGAGAGAGCTCTTTGTCTCCTCCAGCAGGTCTGCTTCTTCCAGCCTCTTAGAGATGCTGTAGGACAGCAGGGTGACGTTGTTGTTCGCTGCGGCCGTCTGGAATGAGCATTGGTGAGCTCAGTTGGAGACCTTGTTACCATCTGGTCATGCTTCCATGGAGGGACAGGTTGCTGGTCCATCCTGGAAGCTTTTGCCCCAAGTGCCACCGCTAGGCTTGGTTCCGGGGGGGAGAGGGACCGTGGGAAAAACACAGATCGGTGAAACCCTCCACTCTGGAGATGGAGGCGAAGGTGGAGACGGATGTCTTCAGCTTGCCGGGCCCAGCTGCAGGCTCGTTCCAGTATGACATCACAGCTGGACAGTGAAGGCCAGATGGGGTCAGGGCGACAAGCCGGGGCGGAGCCAACCTTGCCGCCAGATCATCCGATCAGGGCGGAGGGAGGCAAGGGACGGAAAGTCCCATCATCCTCCTGGATTATGCTGGGCAGCTCTGAGAGGAGGGCGCCAAGGGCTGGGAGCGGTGTGGTCACCAACGTGGGAAGATCCGAGGTGGCTGAGCAACCGCTCGGCCACTCGTCTTCCGTCACTACGCTCTCCAGGAGGGAGGGGGCAGCTCCGCATCACCTTTCTTGGAGGAATCATTCGATTCACTGCGTGACTCTGCGTCAAAGAAGGCGCTGGCGTCGTCCCGCCCATAGCGTCCCGCCACAGAAAAAAACACTCAGCAGAGCTACTGCCAACAACGCCTTTTTCGAGGGAGTCATCTGATTCGCCTCGAGAAAAATACACGTTAGAAAAGGTGGTGGCGTCGTCCAGCAAGTAGTGACCCTCCACAGAAAAACATTCAGCAGGGCTGCTGCTAACATGGCCTTTTTTGAGGAAATCATTCGATTATTGCGAGGAAAAACCACATTAGAAAAGGCAGTGGCGTTGTCCAGCGGGTAGCGGCCCGCCACGAAAAGGCACTCCTCGGCACTTACATTGAACAAGGCTGCTCGTCTGCTTCTCTTCGGGGAGGAAGAGCTCACCGGACGGCAGGAGGTTGGCGTGGCGGAGACCCAGGCATCCTTAGGGGGCCGGTCAAGGTTGGACAACTTTTTCTTCTTCGTTCTCCTGACAGTGCTAGATAGCTGGCTGGCTGAAGAAAAAATGGGAGCCGATTTCCTGGTCGCACCGTAATTTATACGGACCTAGGATGAAGCCCACACAGCAGGCGGGTGTGGACTAAAGTGTTCAGTGCTGCACGCAATGGGATGAAACCCACTTGCGATAACTTAAAGGGCGGAGCCTATAAGAAATAGAACACCCCATCTCCTCTGATCTTCAGCCTGGTTTTAGGTACGGCCAAAAGCAGCTGGTCTGATGAGCTCAAGGCCCGAGAAGGAGTATAAGGATGAAGGAGGTCGGAGAGGTATGAGGGTGTAAGGCCATTAACACACTTAAATGTCAGCAGAAGAATCTTAAAATCAACTCTGACACGCACAGGAAGCCAGTGAAGAGAGGATAGAACTGGAGTAATGTGCTCAAACCTGTGAGTTGCTGTTAGTAGCCGAGCTGTAGCATTTTGGACAAGCTGGAGACGTGAGAGAGAGACCTGACTGACCCCAGCATAAAACGAGTTACAGTAGTCCAGCCAAGTTGTAATAAATGCATGGACTAATTTTTCAAGGTCGGATCTGGACAGCACGGAATTGAGTTTAACTATCTGCCTTAGCTGAAAGAAGCTTGTTTGAAGAACAGAATTTATCTGCTTATTAAACTTAAAGTCTGAGTCTAAAACTATCCCGAGATTGGTAACAGACTGTTTTAGATATGGATGAAGGGAGTCCAGGTTTGCAGGATCAGTGACAGTGGCAGAGCTAGGGTTAAAACACAATGACCTCAGTCTTCTGATCATTAAAACTCAAAAAGTTTGCAGCCATCCAAGTCTTGATATCATCAAGACATTTTAACTAAAGTCCCCAGTATACTGCTGCGCACGTCAATACGCAGAGGTACAGTACGCACGCAAGTACGCGAAGGTACGAGTGTACCCCCCAGGGCATGTCCGTGCAAAGCTCAAATTTTTACAACCGCATACGCGTACGCAGTGTCGCACAATAAACTGCCCAGCGACGGACTGTTTTGTATGCGACACCAATGTATTAAATTCCCCTTTTTCATCCCTGATCTGGCCTTTTCTTTTGTTTTTTAGCCAAGAGGCAGAGATCTCTTCCTCCTCCGTTGATGCCATGACTGAAATGTTGAGAAATGGAGGAATTTGTCACGAGCGAATTAAACTCAGGTCCAGTGTGGCTGCGGGAGGGTCAGAAGATTTCCTGGTGGGCTGGTCTGATGTGTGGGCTGTAGAGCCACAGCGCTCCGTTTATTTATTTATTTTTTAATAATTTTTTTAGATCTTTTTATTAACAACATATAAACACAGAACACCGCTGTGGCTGAGGCTGCCAGCGCTCGCTTTTTTTTTCTTTTTTCAGACCTGTCAATGAATCCAGTAGGCGTGTCAGCAAATGACAAATCGGCGACCTCAATTTGTCCCGAAGGTAAACGCCCCTTGTCTGTGAAGCTGCTCTGCAGCTGCTCGGGGTGTACGCTGGAGTACAAAGTCTGAACCCTCTGCGTACAGTACATGTGTATGTACACGTGAACGGACGTACGTGGCAGTATACTGGGGGCTTAAGGGTGAATGGAGGAAGAACTGTTGGGTGTTAACGGCAGATAAAAAGGAGAGTCATCAGCATAACAATGAAAGGAAAGACCATGTTTCCTCAGGATAGACCCTAAGGGAAGGAGATACAATGAAAACAGAAGGGGTCCAAGAATGGAGCCTTGCGGGACCCTGCAGGAAAGAGGCACTGAAGTAGATAGTGTTAGCAAAATTAACACAGAAACTCCTGTTGTTCAGGTATGAATGGAACCATTCTAACGCTGCACCAGTAATCCCAACCCAGTGTTCTAGCCGGGTTAAAAGGATACTGTGGTCCACAGTATCAAATGCAGCGGTAAGGTCAAGGAGTACCAGGACTACAGACTGACCAGAGTCATTTGCGAGAAGAATGTCATTGCAGACTCTAACTAAGGCTGTATACAATCCAACAATTTTCAGTCAGGTCATCTGGACAGATGACCTGACTGAAAATTAACCTGTTAACCTTTTCATTTGACTCTGTGGCTGCTTGAGGTGTGCAGAGGGTGGAAATGCCCACCTTTAATTACAACCTGGCTGCAGCGAGCCTTGCCGGTTGTAACAGTTGATTTTCCTGTAGAAAACCAGAGCGCTGCTTTAAGGCTTATGTAAAAACATCTGGACACATGTGTTCACTAGCAGCAAGTGTTGGACCTTCTCACCTTCCAGAGCTTCTCTGAGAGGCTCCAGGAAGCGTTGGAACTCCATCTCCTCCATTGCAGCCAGCACGTCTCCTGCATTCAGAGTTTTCCTCTTAGCCTTCATGGCAAAGTTATTTGCACTGAGAAGAAGAAAAAAACTTTAACACTCAGTTTTTTGTTTCTGTGTTTAAAACGTGTAAAAGACAAGACGGGATTTGGTGAATCGAATAGCTTCTCACCAGGAGGTGGCATACAGCACGAAGACGCTGGCTGCCTGGGAGATGGCTCTGCGAGCTTCTTTGGACACGTTCACCCCATCTGGGAGCTGCGAGGAACAAACGGTGCGGAGGAGTTATCTCAGAGCGTCAGCGTGGAAACAAGAGCCAGCCCACAACTGCTCTTTTCTCACACACACACACACACACACACACACACACACACACACACACACACACACACACACACACACACACACACACACACACACACACACACCTCAAAATAGTGACTAACTAACTACCAACCAATCTATTATAAAATCACCAAGTTCAGCTGCTGCTTTCATTTGTCATCACGTGAACACAAACAGGTTGTACCTGTGGCTGCATGGACGGCTGGATGGATGTTCATGAAACTTTTAGGAAGTCATCATCTGGTGTGCATCTGTAGCCGATAATCTTTTGGTGTGATCAAATACAAAACATGGAGTTTGGGCTTTTTGCATTACACCGTTTGTTTGGTTTGTCCAGTTCTCTGTTGTGAAGGTGTGTGTGTGTGTGTGTGTGTGTGTGTGTGCGTGTGTGTGTGTTGAACACAGTTGTAAATCCATGGTGCTGAAGCTGACCAGCACATCCAGTCAGTCCACTGGGACTTTAGTAAATTGTTGGACAGATACCTTAAACACACATACATGTTCTTCATTTGGCTTTTCCCTCTTCAGGGTCTCCACAGCGAGTCCTCCTCCATCTCTGTCCTCACTCCAACTACTTCCATGTCCTCTCTAACTTTATCTCCCAGGTGTTCAACCTGTGCTGTACCTCTGATGATCTCATCCCTGATCTTCTCCATCCTTGTCTCTCCTAAGAAGAACCTCAACATCTTCATTTCTGTCACTTCCAGTTCTGTCTCCTGTCTTTTTGTCCATGTCTCTGTCTCCAGACCATACAACACAGCTGGTCTCACCGCTGTCTTGTAAATTTTTCCTTTGACCTTTGCTGACACCCTTTTGTTACAAATCACTGCTGAAACTTTTCTCCATCACTCCATCCTGCCTGGACTCTCTTCTTCACCTCTTTACCACACTCCCCATTTTCCTGGACAGTGGACCCCAAGTCCTTGAAGTCCTGCACCTTTGGGACCTCTGCTCCTTGTAGCCTCACAAGCTCTGTTTACATGGGCAAACTTTTTTGACCGGATTGAAATGTTTTCAGGTGAAATAATTCAAAAGTATCGTTTACACGGGCACAATCTGTTCACGGCGAGCTTTGTTCTGAACAGCAGTACTGACATGTGCAGAGTGGTAACTCTACTTAAAAATATCACAGAAGAAGAAGTTCTACGTCCGGTTTACTTCCAGGATGAACGTAAACAAAGCTGAGCACCAAAATGGACCCGCGGCAGGTTTTACTGACGGTGGAGACGCTGCGCTCCCTGACCGAGCTGCAGGTCATGCACATCATGCTGAGCTCTTTCAGAGTTTCTAGTAGAAATGTGTCGCTCACCGACCACTTTTACTTCCCCGACATGCTAACATTGTTAGCATTAGCCAGGAGGAAATGACAAAGTCGCACATGAGCAGTGAGCTCAGTTGTTCACCATCAGACAAAACGAACAGATCACGTGTTCACATGACGTGCTTTCATTCTGAACGTTTGATGCGGTTACTGACGTCCATGTGAACACAGCCTCGCTGCTCCACCTCCTCCCTCTCATTCACACATGGACTCCGTCTTACTACGGCTGACTTTCATTACTCTTCTTTCAACTGCATACCTCCACCTCTCCAAGTTCTCTTCCACCTGTTCGATCACATCATCTGCAAACAGCACACATTTCTATTCATATTGGGACTGTATATCAACTTCCATTCATGTCAGTCAGCGCTGACCCTGTCCTAAACTCAACTGCATCCCACCACATCAGGACCAGGCTTTGTCCCCAAAGGGACAACTGGTCCTGACTAGGTAGTTGTTTACGGCCGTCCCTTGCTATATCAGTAATAAAACAAATAAAGTACAAAAGTAAAATGAAGTAAATAAAGAACAGAAAAATACTGAACAAAGTTCTATAAAATATGTTTTATTGTTTAACTATTAATAATACTGTTAAAATAGGAGGAAAGCATTTAAAAATTTGTATTATGTATTCATAAAAATATTCTATTTACAATTGTTGTGATTATATTTTGTAATATTTCTTTTTTCTTTGAATTAAATAAAAAAATGGATATTTCTTAATCTCAAAAATAATCTCCCTGAGGAGTTTCCTGCTGATAACCAGCTGAACCAGCTGAATAAACTTGTGTCATCACGTCAGGACTCTGGATTGTCAGACGTTACTCGTGGCCACTCCTCAACAATGTTTATGGATCTGCCCGGAGGACACGGACTGATCGTCCCATCAGAACTCTTAGTGCCCTGGAGAGAGAGCACCTCTGAACATGTTGACCCCCCCGCAGCATGTCTACGTCACTATGTGCTTGTTTGTGACAGGTGTTCTTTAATGTTAGTCCTTCTCTCAGGCAGGAAAAAAAGTCTGAGAGGAAGTGTTTTCTCCTCCAACTCGTCCATGTGTCCAGTTAACCTGTCTCTGTCTGTCCAAACAGGTCTCACTTGTTAATGAGTCTTTGAGGCTCAATGTGATTTATCTGTTTAAATAAAGGTTGAATGAAATCTGTCCTAACATTTAGACTTTTGAGAAGAAACAGCCCGGTCTTTCTTTCAGCTGCTCCTTGTTCAGGGCTCGCCACAGCGCACGAGCTCATGCGAACACTCGAGGAAAGTTTTGACGCTCGATGTCGTCCTGACACCACCACAGTCCTCTGTGTGGAGCAGGGAGCCTGACACCACCACAGTCCTCTGTGTGGAGCAGGGAGCCTGACACCACCACAGTCCTCTGAGTGGAGCAGG